AAGTGGGGAACCAATCTTACCTCTGCAGGGATGATGTTCCCCAGGCAGAGAGCCACCACGAAGAAGGTCCTTCTTCTTGGTCCCACCAGATGGACCTCCTTAAGAGAGGGGACCCATGACATCCTCTACCTCCTTGCTCTGGTGGGTTGGGTAGATCTACCTGGGAAATGACAGTCCTTCAAATAACAGGGAAGGAGCCCCCACAGAGAAGGCCCTTCTTCTCGGTCCCACCTGATGGACCTCCTTAAGAGAGGGGAACCTTAAGACCCCATGCCTCCACACTCTGGTGGACCACAGGTAGAGATGACTGGACAAAGATGCTCCTTCAAATAACCTGGACCCAAAGCAGGTAGGGTTTTGACGGTGACGACCACCACTTCGAATTGGGCACAGAAACAGAATCGGCAGCCAATGCAGCTCCTGCAGGAGGGTGTAACCCATGGGCAAACCTAGACTTACACAAAACCATACGGTCTGCTCGCTGCCAGGAAGCGGGGCTGAACTGTTGAGCGTTCTCTTTGCGTGTTGGACACTTGCTTAATCACGGGCGTCACTTTAGCAGACGGCTCAATTTGGACCGTCTGACCGCTGGATCAATTTTCCTCGCTTTCGCGGTCCAGCTGCTGACCCCTTCCTCCCCTCGGGATACCTGGAAAAGCTTCTTTGCGGCTACTAGAAGCTGTTTTAGAAATCCCCCGGTGACGAACGAGAGGCTGGTTATTACCACTTACCGGAACCCATTAGGAAAATTATGTTAAGGAATTCCTACCCCTTTCCGTATCGTCTGGAGCCAGCCTGGTGTGCGGGGTTGAAATTGATCAGACTTTCCTTCCCCCCCCCCCCTGTAGAAGAACATGTGGCTTGTTTTTGAAACACAACTATCCTAGGATCCAATCTGAGTCGGTCACCGGGACCAAACTTTCGGTCTCGTACGGGGAACTTCTGCCCCTCCTGAATATGTTCACCCTGGTATTTATATGGTGTGTGGTTGTGTGTAGCTTTTTTTATTATTATTATTAACTAGCTGTACCCGGCCACGCGTTGCTGTGGCTCAGTCTGGTTAAATGGAAAAGAAAGAATTGGGAATTTGGAAATCGTAAATGGATCGTAAATCGGAAACATTGAAATGGAATCATAAAATCTTAGCGTGTGTTGCTTTTACGTCCAACAGATGGCGCTGTTTTTTTAAAAAAAGCATGTTTTTACCTGTCACAGGTGTGACATCTATATAATAGTAGGTATATAAAAACACGCGCGTATTCGAATGCAACGTTGGGTCAAAATTTCAAAGCAATCGGTGAAGAACTTTCGGAGATTTAAGATTTTGAACAGACGAACATTTACATTTTTATTTATATAGATTAGGGTGTGGCTGGCTGGCTATTGAGTCGTCGATTGTTGTCTCCTTGTGCAACTCCAGATAAGCTGGTAGTAAATCAGCATCCCAGCTGACTGACCACAGGGGCCCATTTCCCAGGCTTTAAGTCATCTCTCTTGGCTGTTTTTGTCCCTGCTCAGCCAACAATCGTAGTAGCTGGGAAATTGAATGCATCTCCTTGGTTCGTTCCAATGTGAGCTACCAATGAGTTCGGGTCTCTTGGTCTAACTGCTCGCTCACGTTCTCGCAATCCGCTGGTTCGCTTCTTCCCTGTCTGCTCCAGCTATTGTAGTCCAAGGTTGGGTCATGTGATGGGAATTCAGACGCTTGGGCAACTGCCATGTATTTATGACGGTCGCAGCGTCCCCGAGTCACGTCATCCCCTTTTGCCCACTTTCTGACAAGCAAAGTCAACGGGGGAAGCCAGATTCACTTCACAATGGTGTACTAACTTAACAACTGGGATAGAATGGAGCTGGAAGGGACCTTGGAGGTCTTCTAGTCCAGCCCCCTGCTCAAGCAGGAGAACCTATGCCATCTCAGACAAGTGACTGTCCAGTCTCTTCTTAAAAACCTCCAGTGATGGTGCGCCCACGATTCCTGGTGGCAAGCTGTTCCACTGGTTGATTGTCCTCACTGTCAGGAAGTTTCTCCTTAATTCCAGGTTGCTTCTCTCTTTGGTCAGTTTCCAACCATTGTTTCTTGTCTTGCCCTCTGGTGCTTTGGAGAATAGTTTGATGCCCTCTTCTTTGTGGCAGCCCTTCAAATACTGGAATACTACTATCATGTCGCTCCTGTTTCTTCTTTTCTTTAGACTAGCCAAACCCAAGTCCTGTAGCCGTTCTTCCTCTGTTTTACTCTCCAGGCCTTGGATCACCTTAGTTTTAGAATAGAATAGAGCTGGAAGGGACCTTGGAGGTCTTTTAGTCCAGCCCCCTGCTCAAGCAGGAGAACCTATACCATCTCAGACAGGTGAATGTCCAGTTGCTTCTTTAAAATCTCCAGTGATGGAGCGCCCATGATTTCTGGTGGCAAGCTGTTCCACTGGTTAATTGTCCTCACTGTCAGGAAGTTTCTCCTTAATTCCAGGCTGCTTCTCTCCTTGGTTAGTTTCCATCCGTTGTTTCTCGTCCTGTCCTCTGATGCTTTGGAGAATAGCTTGACTCCCTCTTCTTTGGGGCAGCCCCTCAGATACTGGAACGCCGCTATCACGTCTCCCCTATTTCTTCTTTTCTTTAGACTAGCCAGACCCCAAGTCCCGCAGCCGTTCCTCGTCTGTTTTAGCACGGTGGCCAGAAAAGTTGCAAAATTAGGGCAAAACTCACTTAACAAGTGCCTCCCTTAGCCACGGAAATTTTGGGCCCGTAAGTCGAGGACTACCTGTTTAGGCCTCCCAAACACGGACTGGCGGACTGCAGCGGCTAAACCCGGAGCCGATGGGAACGTCCCAACAATGTCGCGAAGGCTTCTCGTTTATTTCCCCGGTGTAAAGACTCCTATAAGATTGGAAATAATTGCTGGAGGGAGTCGGCCCGGCTAACGCAATTGTGCGCCGCTTAAAGTCATTGGAAAGGAGACGTGATTGAGCGAGTGGGTGATTGGGTTAGGCTTATGGTGGAAATAGTATGTCTAACAATATAATCTGCCAATCGCGGGACCGGTGACCCGGGTAGAGGTGAGGGTGGGTTCAGACAGAGGCACATCTGAACTCTAGCGTCCGGCAAAGTTGAGCAAGAAAATTATTTCATCCTTCGCGGCCTTTTTCCTCGGGCTTGGCGCTCTGCAAAATTTTGGGGAATCTAGCTTGCAAGGCCTCAGGCTGGGAAACAGGAGACGGTGAGTTCGAGTCTCGCCTTAGGCCTGAAAGCTGGCTGAGTGACAATCACCCGGAGAGGGTGAGTTCTAGTCCCACCTGAGGCACAAAGCCGGCGACATGATTTGGAGCCAATCGCTAGGAAATGAGGAGTTCTAGTTCCATCTTAAGCATGGAAACTGACTGGGTGACTTTGAGCCGGTCACCAGGAGATTGGGAGTTCTAGTCCTGCCTTAGGCGTGAAAGCCAGCTGGGTGACTTTGGACCAATCCCCAGGGGACAATGAGTTCTAGTTCCACCTTAGCCATTAAAACTGGCTGGCTAACTCTGGGCCAAATCCCCAGGAGACGGTGAGTTCTAGTTCCACCTTAGCAATTAAAGCCGGCTGGCTGACTCTGGGCCAATCCCCAGGAGACGGTGAGTTCTAGTCCCACTTTAGGCATTAAAGCTGGCTGGCGACTGGGCCAAATCCCCAGGAGACGGTGAGTTCTAATCCCACCTCGGGCATTAAAGCCGGCTGGCGACTCTGGGCCAAATCCCCAGGAGACGGCGAGTTCTAGTCCCACCTTAGGCATTAAAGCAACTGGGTAACTTCGGGCCTGTCCTTCTCTCTCAGCCCAATCTACCTCACAGGGTTGTTGTTGTGGGGAAAGTAGGAGGAGGTAAAAGTATTAGGGGTGTGTGTGTGTGTGTGTGTGTGTGTGAGAGAGAGAGAGAGAGAGAGAGAGAGAGAGAGAGAGAGAGAGAGAGAGAGAGAGAAACAATGCTACTCTCCATGGCTGACACATCCCTTGCTCTCTTTTTCTTCTAGGACTGCCTTTGGCAAGGAGTCAGAAGTCCTGATCGGGAACCTGGGCGATAAGCTGATTCCCCAGCAAGAGATTCTCCGGGACGTCAGCGACCTGAAGGCCTTGGCCAACATGCACGAGAGTCTGGAGTGGCTGTCGGGACGGGTGAAGAGCGCCATCTCCAGCCTTCCAAGTAAGTGACCCCTGGGAAGACGGAAATACGCCAGGGGAGATTCCAATAATGCACGGATGGATGGATAGACACACAGACATAGAAGATATGAGATAGATGGATGGATGGATGGATGGATAGACACACAGACATAGATAGGTAGGTAGGTAGGTAGGTAGGTAGGTAGGTAGATAGATAGATAGATAGATAGATAGATGATAGATAGATAGATAGATAGATAGATAGATAGATAGATAGATAGATAGATAGATAGATAGATAGATAGATAGATAGATAGATAGGTGGGTGGATAG